GCCCCAGACAGGATTTCCCGGTAGCCTCAGCTGGCCTGGAACACCAGGCTGTTCTCAGTCTCACAGAGATCCACCTGCCTCTGTCTTCCGAGTGCTTGGATTAAAGGCATGAACCACCACATCTGGCATAAACTGCTTAATTTTTTTTTATGGTGGATTATGTGTTTTATATGTAAGGAAACTAGTAAATTGGAAGTTAGAAAACTAAATAACATTCAACCCTGCTACTTTGGAACCTGGGTTAGAAAACCTGAATATACAACAACAAAAAATATTTCCTAAATTAAAATGTCTTAGGGATTGATCCCAGAAGTTTCTACTTTAAAAAATCTTTTAAAATATTTTGATGCCTAGTGGGTAGCCATTCGGGAGCCACTGTCTCAGCAAGCTGTCTGTGGTGTTATGACCAAAGACCTATGTGAAATGGATTAGGGAAAGGTGCACCCTAAATTTCAGATAGAGATGAGAGCTGCTGTGTTTTTACTAACCCTCGGTGCTGGCTGCATGTCACATGTCACATGACTCACAGTGTCTTCTTTGTGGATGTGTTTTAATGCTTTTGTTTAGGGTTTGGTTTTGGTGCATCACTGTCCCTCCTAACTTTCTTTACCTTTGAATCCAGAATGGTTTTTTTTTCTTTTCTTGGAGGGTGGGTCAATTGGGAGGGTGAGTACTTTTTTTAAAATTTTAAACGGCTTGAAAGGCTTTCAACTTTTCCTGTCTTTCTTTGATTTCTATTCTGGCTTCTTAGGCACCTCTCCAGCTGGACAAGAAACAGTAGATGCAAACCTGCAGAAACTCACACAACTTGTAAATAAGGAATCCAACTTGATTGAAAAGGTCAAGTTTACTTTAATCATTATTTTATAGTAGCTTAGTTTTTTCCTTCCTGTGGGAATGTAGTAATTTGAGTTATGTATTAACTCTCCTCTTAGTTCTTAAGAGTTTGCTTTTCAGAAGGCTGCTTAAATACACTTTGACCAAAGTTTCATAAGATGCAGTATTTTGAAGCTGGCAGTGGCCTGGCTGCTGTGAGGAAAGATTAAATAATGGTATTTGGGGTTTTTTTGTTGTCTTTTTTTAAGTTTGTTTTTATCAAGCTAGGTGACACAAAAGATTGGCTTTAAAAAAACCCCAGAAACAAATGTTGCTTGTCTTCCTCTCTCCTGAAGGTCTCAGCACTGTGCTAAACCATCCGAGCAGTAAGGTCTTTCTTCCTCCTCGTCTTTCTCTGTCCTAAATGTAGTCTTCAGTTTTTTTTTTTTTAACCAGTTTAATTATTCTGCCACTTTGGAGGTAATCATTTTGTGAGAGACTTGGCCGAAATGGGGAGGAGAGAAAGCCAACAATGGGAAATTGAGAACGATTCTAATTAGGAAAGAATGAGAGGTTGTACGGGGTTTCTCCCCAGGCCTGGTAAACTTGCTTTCTCCCACAGGCACTGAGGTATAAGAGCTTCATAGGGATAATCTCATTTAAGCCTCACAGTAGCTCTCTGTGTAGCTATTATTACTATCCCATTTCACAGATGAGGACACCGAAGGTGTGAGAGCAGCTGTGTCCTCTGACCAAGGTCATTCAACTCGAAGAAAGTAGAGAGGAAACCCTGGATGTGGGAACTTGAGTGTTGCAGTTCGTTGTTCTCTGCAGTAGGCATCTGTCTTGCTCAGAAATGAGATTATGTGTCCATTGCCAGGAGGAGGAATAGATTTGTCACTGTCATTCTCTGGGATGACCTTGTGTTTCTGCTGTCTCATGTTGTATTTTAATCTGAGAAGTTAGTAAGCTGGGTAGTAAAATTGGAAGAGTTCATGACTGTTCAAGTTTTGGATAATCTGAGTTAAAGCCTGGGTGGCTCTATTCTTTGCTCAGTCCAGTAAACATTGTACAAGGAAGCACATGAAGCATTAAGTGTGGTTAAAGGAGAGATCACCCATCTAGTCAATGAAAGCTATCTAATAGTGTTTTCCACTTTCCTTGTGTGAGGCGTTGATGACAAATTCAGAAAGGGAGCTATGAAATATCCACATATATAGAAGGAAAAGTAGGAGACCCTTTTACTGTGCACATCCATCTTGGGTCTTCATCAGTTGTTGAGAGTTTTGTAACCAGTCCAGCCAAGCATTCACATTGTTCCACCCAACTCATACCTGTTCTATAGGAAGCGCGAGGGCCACTGGCTGGTTTTAGACAATAAGGCAGCAAGTATTATTTGCCATCACTGTTTACAATTTGGACCAAAAATCTAGAACTTTAAGAAAAAGAATCATGCTTGAGAAACTTAGTTCTTGCAAGAAAGAAAAGGCCTCTTAATATAGTTTTCCCTGATTATACTTTTTTTCCATTGGAAAATTAAAAATCTTTTATTCTCTGTCCTCTCCTGCAAACCTTGTATATGTATCTTTGCTAAGTGCTTCCTCTTTGCTTTGTAAGAGCATCTTGAGAAGATAAAGGGGAGTTTAAATACTCTGCATGTATGAAAAACTGTTGATTTTGTTTTTTTGTTTTTGTTTAATGGTAGCTGCTTTCAAGTCTTTTATGAAAAGTTGATAGTGAACTCAACACGAGGACCTGAGTCTTGAACCTTCTGGGTATTCTGGTTAAACGTAGTTTTTGGAGATCTGAGTGCGTACTAAGTAATCCCTGTCCTAGTGTTCAGAGGTACTAATGTGCTTCTTTTGAGGAGGAGTCTGGAGTTGAACATTTTCTTCATATGCTTCACATTAAATTCTTTTCTAAGGGAGGCTTAGAAGTGATCCAGTGTTTAGGAGGCCTCTGGATCAGAGCCAGAGAACTGGTCACTCCTGCCTTACCTTTTCCCAGCCTCCTTTGGTCTGTGTACTCTCAGCCTGAAAGAGCTGGTTTGTTGTCGTTGCTTATCAGTTGAGTGAAATGCTGATCACTTTCATTCTGTAGAGGTATAGTTGAAAAGCAGTCATATTATAGTAAGGAGACCTGGTTCAAGTTTCAGCTCTGCTTCTAGCTTTGGGACCTGGGAAAATTCTTTCTGAACCTTATTTTGCTAATCTGTAAAACAGGGCAGGACTGTGTCTGCCTGTTCCTCAGGAGCACACTTTATAAGCTGTAGAGCCTGGCATGACAGAACTGTTACATTTACCCTTATTTTTAGAAGGCCTCTTAAGTCATGCTTGATGGAGTTCAATAGAATATTCATTTTGGAATTACTATAATTTTGTGATGGTGTCCAGGATGAACCACATCACTTTTTACTGATACTGAGTCAGCTGGTATTTGAGGTATGACATTTGCAAGTCTTGAGTGATTATTTGCCAGAAAAAAAGGTTTCTCCAGCAGTCGTAGAAGCATATGGTTCTGTTCTCTTTTAGCCTGTAGTCTGGACAGGGAGGCCACAGTCCACCAAAGTGGTGCCACAGCCTGAGTCAGATGTGTCTTTGTACTTTCTACAGATGGATGACAATCTTCGCCAAAGCCCTCAGCTTCCTCCTCGGAAGCTGCCAACCCTCAAATTGACTCCAGCAGAAGAAGAGAGTAATTCCATACAGCGCCTCTCGCCCTGACAATCACAGCTTGTTGCGGCCCAAGTCTTAGGATTGTCGCGGTAGTTGTTTATGCTGAGTGCATGAAGGCAAAAAGAAAAAGCTGTGATAGGTATAAGGAAGACTGAAGCAAAATGAACTGTATGTGGCTTTTTTTTAAAAAATGAGGGAATTAGCCGGGCTTGGTGGTGCATGCCTGTAGTCCCAGCACTTGGGAGGCAGAGGCAGACAGATCTCTGTGAGTTCAAGGCCAGCCTGGTCTACATAGTGA